AACAGACTCACGTGGAATTTGTTGTGAATTTGCCAGTCATCAGGTAGGCGCAGTTGAGCGGTCACCATCTTCACGATCTTGAACGGGCCACAAAAACGTGGTCGTAATTTCGTCGGTAGTGGCAGTTGTAAATTCTTTGTGTCCAAAAGGACTAGTTGCCCTGTCGTCATTGTAATATCTCGTCGATGTAAATCTGCATACCGTCGGGCAGTTGCATTCGCCTTGCGAATAAGTTCGACAGCTTTGTCTCGGGCAGTCTGTAATTCTTCGACAAACTGATGCGATCGTGGTACTTGACTCTCAACGTTGGTGGAGATCGGCACTGTAGGGTCCATCCCATAATTGAAATAAAACGGGGAGTGATTAGTCGTAGCCGAGGGCGCGTTGTTGTAGGAAAATTCCAACATGGGCAGCACGTCCTCCCATTTGTTTCGGTCGGGGCAGTTTGTCCGAATCAGCTGCTTCATCGTTTGATTTGTTCTTTCCGTCTGGCCGTCCGTTTGGGGATGATACGCGGATGAGAGCTGTAGACGCGTGCCGTACCGAGCCCACGTGTCCTGCCAGAATTTTGACGTGAACTTCGGATCTCGATCGCTAATGATTGCTGTTGGTATCCTGTGTAGGCGAACAACGGTCGAGATGAACAGGCGCGCTGTTTCTTCGGCTGTGATGGTTGTACGACCTGGGGCGAAGTGCGCCATTTTCGTCAATCGGTCGACGACAACCAACACTGCGTCGTTTCCGCTGGGTCCGGCCGGTAGTCCCGTAACGAAATCCATCGTTACGTGTTGCCATGGGCGTTGAGGTGGCTCGACGGGCTGCAACAGTCCTGTAGGTCGCTGGTGTGAGGATTTCATTCGCTGGCAGATCGGACACACGGCCACGTAACGCTGCACGTCCGTCACCATATCTGGCCAGTAATAAAACCGCTGCAACGCCTTCAGAGTTTTATCAACCCCGAAATGTCCCGATAAATTCGAATCGTGGACTTCTTGAATTAGTAATTCGCGAAGTAGACGATAACTTGGGACCCAAATTCGATCAGTACCGCTTTGTAAGTAATAGACGCCTTTCCGTGTAGTGATTGGGAGATGGCCGTCGTTTACGAAAAAGGGGGTCAGTCGAATACCCGTGGGTAAATAGTCCACTCAGTAGCGGGTTGCTTTGGGCGACTAGTACTGCTGCGAGTTGGGCAGATGGTCTGGAAAGGGCATCGGCAATATTGTTGGCGCCTTTTTTGTACGTGATCTTGTACGTGAAGTTGGACTCCAGATAGTCCAGCCAGCGTATCTGCCGCGGGTTGAGATTCGGCTGCGCCCTCTGGTACTGTAGTGATTTGTGATCGGTTCGCACCGTCACGTTTGCTCCAGTCAGGTAGCACCTCCAGATTTTGAACGCGTGGACAATCGCCAGCATCTCCTTGTCATGTACCGGGTAGTTGCGCTCAGCAGATTGCATTTTCCGAGACTCGTACGCAATTGGTTGAAGCCCGTTGCCGAAATCCTGCATGAGCACTGCTCGATGGCGATATCACTTGCGTCGGTGATGACTTCAAAGGGCCGTTCCGGGTCAGCGATGCGAAGTACCAGTGGCGACATTAAAAGTTTTTTTAATGCCTCGAACGCAGCTTGCTGCTTCTCCCCCCACTCGTAAAATGTTCCCTTTTGCAGTAGGTCGGTGAGCGGTCCAGTTAACCCCGCCATGTTGGGTATAAACCTCCGTACATAATTCACAAAACCCATAAATAATTGCAGCTGCTGCAGATTTGTTGGTGGTTTCCACTCCTGAATGGCCCAGAGTTTTTTCGGGTCTATTCGAATCCCCTCTGTGGAGATCACGTGCCCAAGGAACTCCAGTTCTTGTTTTAAAAGCTCGCACTTGGAGCCCTTGGTGATGAGTCGATGCTGCTGTAACCGCTGAAAAACCGCTTCCAAATCTTTTAAATGCTGCTCCCGGGTCTTGCTATAAATCAGGATGTCGTCCAGGAAAATGATTACGCATTTGTCGAGTAGATCGCGGAACACCCCGTTCATGGTGAGTTGAAACGTCGAGGGGGCGTTCGTTAATCCAAACGGCATCACCGTGTATTCGTAACTCCCATAGCGAGTACGAAACGCGGTCTTGTGGCAGTCGTCAGCGAACACTCGAATTTGATGGTAACCGCCACGAAGGTCGATCTTCGAAAAGTAGCGAGCTCCGCGAAGGTTGTCGATCAGTTCGTCCGTTTGTGGGATTGGATAGCGCGATTTAATCGTTACCCCGTTAAGGGCACGATAATCTGACGAAGTCCGCCGTCCTTCTTTGGTGTGAACAGGATCGATGCTGCGAACGGTGACGTGCTTGGCCGAATGAACCCTTTCGCCAGTAGGTAGTCCAGCTGGTTTCGTAACTCCTGTAGTTCCGGCTGAGTCAGGCGCCATTGCGTGCGTACAGTAGGCTGCGCGCCGGGCTCCAGCTCAATTTTGTGGTCCTGGGGTCGTTCAGGTGGCAATCCACTTGGCAAGCCGTCCGGGAAAATCTCAGGATATTCCCGAATGATTTTCGCCAAGTCATCCGGAACCGATGCACAGAGTTTGTTGATGTCGGTCGCCTCATTCTGCTCCGTCGATTCGGTTAGATGGACGGCGTATAAATCCGCTCCATTCTTGACCGCTCGATTGAGGCACACCGCGTTGACTCGTGTCGAGGTTGTCTCTGCTTCCGGCCACGTGGGTAATTTTCGCCAACCTTGGTCGCACTTCACTGTGCACTCGCCTGTTGTCCAATCGATCTGCGGGTTGAATCTTCGCAGCCAATCGCGTCCCAATAGCACGTCGTAGCCGTCGAGCGTTGTCGCCAGCATCGGCGCGCTGAAACCAAAATCGTCGCCACACTTCATTCGAACGATAGGTACTTTGTCGCGTATCGCCAGCGGGGGGTGCCATCCACCAATCGCGCGTCGATTTCGGGTAGACACCTCTCCAGTGGCAGGTGCAGTCGTCGTGCTGTCTCCCGATTTATCAGGCTATGACTCGCACCTCCGTCGATGAATATTTTTATTTTTCTTCCATGAAGTCGTCCTTCCGCTAGTACAGGGTGGTCCACTGGGTCATCCTCTTTTTTCAGCCGGGAGCGGTTGATAGCATGTATCGGAACCACTACTCGGTGGGGATGTTGTTTTTCGGGCGATGAGGCAAGGTCAGTAGGGGGCCCGACCGCTACTGACGCTTGGCGTTTCCCGACCTGCCTTCGTCGTTCTTCTTTATCTGCTTCTTTCGGGGGCAATCGTGAGATTGGTGACCCGGCTGGTGGCAGTTGAAACATTGTCCCTTGCGAAAATCTTCCATGTGCTCCTTCGCCACTATGCCGTGAATCGTGGGCCGTGGATTCTGGCCACGAAAACGATTTCCCTCCCGGGAACCCGCTCTTGCATACGTCCGATGCGCGTCGAAGTTGTCTGCGATCCGGACGGCTTCGTGAAACGTCGCCGGCAGTCGCAATCGGACCTCGCATTTAATGTCTTGCTTCAAACCCGAAATGAATCGAGCTTTCTTCTCGGAGTCATGCATGTCGGTGATTTGGTCGCATAACGCCATGAAGACTGACGCGTAATCCTGGACAGAACTCCACTGGCGCCAGTTGTCCAGCTTTGTGCGTGCGTTGTCCGAGACGGATATTGGCTCGAATCGTTCACGCAGAGCTGTACCCCACGCCTTCCACGTGCGAATCTTGGTCGATCCAAAAATCGCGGTTGACCCTTGGGCAGCAGATCCAAAGTTTCCGAAAAACCCCTGTGTGTCGCGTGCCGAAAACTCCCCCTCCTGTAGAGTATATCGCCACCAATCTAGCGCAGGTCCCCGCAGTAGTGATACAGCCAGTCGAATTTTTAAATCGTCAGCAGTGATCCCAGCGGCGTTAAAATAAAGTTCCGCCGAAAATAACCAGCCCGTAACAGTAGTATTCTTATCTGTGGGATTGAACGGGGGCGGCATTGTCGGTTTGATCGTCGCTGTCGTCACGATCGGCATAAACGCCGGTGCGGCTACAGTAGCGGCTGCCTCTGACCGAGCGGCTGCTGCTGTCGCTGCTGCTGCTGCTACTGCTGCTTCGGCTGCTGCTCGTGCTGCCACGTCAGCTGCTGCGGCGGCTTCACTGTCCTTGCGCTCCTGTGACACCTGACGTGCGAGTTCGTCCAAGACGGTTCCGACACATCCGGTGCTGGCGACCTCTTCTTGGGCGGCAGATTTCTGACGCAAATCCTCTCGCGCCTGGCGTAACTCAGCAACTTCCGGACGAAGTCGCTCGTTGTCCTCCAGCACTGTAGCCATGCGCGTGTTCATGGCATTGAACTGCTCCCGAAGCTCGTTGAACTGAGCTTGGTCCATTTGGCGAATGCTCCGCCGGGGCAGGGGGAAATCCGTAATGTGCCTGTACTCAGCTAAGTGCAAACGCTATCGTAGTTGGGCGAATTAATCAGTCTAATTCGCGAGCAACCGCTTTGCAGCTTACGTGAGGGACTTAACCCCCCCCAAAAAAAAATCAACTCACGAAAACGGGTGAGCGAGGAAAGTGGCTCTGAATACCAGGTGTTATGAATGAACAAGCAGAGTAGCGCGGAAATGAATAACGAAGTGTTCACTCAATGAATGACGATACAAGGAATGGCAAGCCAAGATATAGGAACACCAGAGCTAGTCTAACCCTGCGATGGTAAGGTTCGGGAAAGAGATCGAAGGGTCTCGAAGTGACGAAGCGAGGCCCGGAGAACTCCCGAAGGTCGAACTGAAAGGTCTGGAGAAGCCGAGGCGGTTCTGGTCTGGAACAGTCCCGAGGCTTCGGTTGTGTTCGAGCGTACGCGATAGCAGTACCGCTCGGTAAGGAATGGAAAATTCCTTACAGGATACATACGCAACCCATCCGACAATTTCCGTAGAAATTTTGGTTCTCTCCCAAAAGCACCGCGTCGTGAGTTTGCTCTTGACCTCCCCTCCCCACCCCTTTCCTCCCCTCGTCACTTTCTTTCCCATTTCTTCTTTTCGCTCATCGCCCAAGAATTTCACCAGCAAACCATTCCATACGCCTCCCACAGCGCACCACACCCACACCTCCTAATCATCTCCCAATCACAGTCCGCCATGGCGGCGGCGGCGCGCGGCGGCGAGGCGCTGGCGGGCGACGAGAGTCTGGTGTTTGAGACGAGCAAGGGCGTGGCGGTGGTGCCGTCGTTCGAGCAGATGGGCATCCGCGAGGACCTGCTCCGCGGCATCTACGCCTTCGGCTTCGAGAAGCCGTCCGCCATCCAGCAGCGCGCCATCAAGCCCATCATCGCGGGCCGTGACGTCATCGCGCAGGCGCAGTCCGGCACGGGCAAGACCAGCATGATCGGGCTCGCCGTGTGCCAGATCGTCGACACCAGCTCCCGAGAGTGAGTCCGCGGGAGATGGCAGCGCGAGAAAGGGGGTGCACCGCTATGCGGCACGCGTAGATGCTGTATGCGGCGTCGCGTCTTTGCGGGTCGCAGGGGAAGGCACAGGGGAGGTTGAACGGTGAGATGGCAGATTAGGGTTTCCACCCACGTGCGGTTCGTCGATGCTTCCGTCCCTCCTCCTTCCGTCTATCGTTATCAAGTGTCGTCGCGCGCCGCCCTCGTCCAGCACGGGCGCCGGGATTGTTTCCCCACGCGCGAGACGGAAGAAAACGGGCTATCGACCCGTCACGCGCCCAGAGGTCGCTTTGTTCCGCTCGACCCTGTGAGGAACCACAACCCCATTTCGTTCCCCACGCTCGAGGTGGCGCCGCACTCGGAGAAGACGGTTTCCGAGGGCGTGGGCGTGATCGTGTTTCGCCCCGCCTCTCCCCCTCGCAGAACCCAGGCGCTCATCCTGTCGCCGACGCGCGAGCTGGCGGTGCAGACGGAGAAGACGGTGCTGGCCGTCGGCGACTTGATGAACATCCAGGCCTACGCGTGCATTGGCGGCCGCTCCATTGGCGAGGACATTCGCAAGCTCGAGTTCGGCGTGCAGGTGCGCGGGGGGGGTGGGGACGCGAAGGCGCTACTCTGAATGCTTGATTCCGGGTGGGGTGTTGAAGCGAATTTCCAACGGCGAGAGGAAGAGGAGTGGGGTGCTGCAGAGATCGGCGGAGGATGGCAAGTGTTTGGGGGGGGGGGGGGGGGGCGTGGTGGTCTCCGCGTGCCATGCGAGGCGCGGGAGAGGCGGGCACACGCTGGGTGGTGACGGCAGACACTGCAGGCAGCGGAGAGGTGGAGCCGTCGTGGGATGGAGCAGTGCTTGTGCTGGCAGCGTGCTCGCAGACCATCGCTGTGTCATGTTTGCGTGACCCACGTGCTGCCGTCTGCCAGCACTTGGATGCGTGCCCCTGGCAACGCGCCCCTGGCAACGCGCCCCTGGCAACGCGCCCCTTGCAACGCGCCCCTTGCAACGCGCCCCTTGCACGCATACGGAGTAGTAGGCACCTGACAGTTGTTCCTAACTCGGGATATTGAATCGACCAGTTCTCACCCGTTATCTCTGGACGCATGTGCACGTGCATGTGCATGCGCATGTGATGATGCATGTGGTGCGTGGCAGGTGGTGTCGGGCACGCCGGGCCGCGTGTACGACATGATCAAGCGGCGCAGCCTGCGCACGCGAGCCATCAAGCTCCTCATCCTGGTGGGTTCCTGCTGCCCCCATTCTGCTGCGTGCTAACTGCTAAGGCGTGCGTGATGATGGATTCACGCGTTCGCCCCCCCGTTCTCACCTCGTGATGTGTGGGCGTGTGTGGGTGAGAATCCGCTCACATCCCCTGGTTTGCATGATGTCCGTTTTGAGGTCTGCAGTGGCATCTCCGCGCGTGCAGGGCTTGCAAGCCGCTTCTGCTCATTCAGGGTGGGTAACATTCTCTCCACCCCTCCCTTCCCTTGGCGCAGGACGAGTCTGACGAGATGCTCAACATGGGCTTTAAGGACCAGATCTACGACATCTACCGCTACTTGCCGCCAGAGCTGCAGGTAAGCCTTGGCGTGCCGTTGTGGGCTCTCTCCCTTGTCATTTTCTTCCCTCCCTCCATCCAGTGTCAGCCATCGTTCTTCCCCCCTCCCGCCACTTCATGCCTGCAGATGGTGCTGGAGATGACCGGCAAGTGCATGGCCGACCCTGTGAGGATTGTGATGCCTAACGAACGAGACCTCAAACTCTCGTCTCCCCTTCCTCCGCCCCCCCAACCCCCACCGTACCTGTGGGTGCAGGTGGTGCTGGTGTCGGCCACCCTGCCGCACGAGATCCTGGAGATGACGGGCAAGTTCATGACGGACCCCGTGCGCATCCTCGTCAAGCGCGACGAGCTCACACTCGAGGTGGGACGGCAGGGGCACGGCAACAAGTGAATAGTTGCGCTTGGGATTATGTTTTTGTGCAAGGTCAATATAGTGTGAGGATTTTGTAAGCTTTTAGCAGTTGGATACTTGAAGCACCTTTGAAGCAGGATGTAGATCGGAAGGTCGCAGTGAGAGCCTGAATTTCCTGCGAGTGTGGTGCGGGCCGACCCTAGCCACTTCTTTCAAGGCCGTGCATGCACTCACGCTGCTGCCCTCCCTCTGTGTCCTCCCTCCTCTGTGTGTGTGCGTGCATCCCTCTGTGTGTGAGTGGGCGTGGGCTTGCAGGGCATTAAGCAATTCTTCGTGGCGGTGGAGCGGGAGGAGTGGAAGTTTGACACGCTGTGCGACCTATATGACACGCTCACCATCACACAGGCATGTGCCCCTCTCACCATCACACAGGCATGTGCCCCTCACAGGCACGTACCACATAGCATCGCTTCTTTGTTTTCTTCGTGCCTGCCAGTGAGACAGTGACATTGTGGCCACGCGCTCATCACCCCCCTCCCAGGCGGTGATCTTCTGCAACACGAAGCGCAAGGTGGACTGGCTCACGGAGAAGATGCGCGCCAACAACTTCACGGTGTCTGCCATGCACGGGGACATGCCGCAGAAGGAGCGCGACGCCATCATGGGCGAGTTCCGCTCGGGCACCACCAGAGTGCTCATCACCACTGATGTGTGGGCGCGAGGCATCGACGTGCAGCAGGTGCGTGGGGAATGTGCGCCCCCGTGGTCAGCAACTTCACGGTGTCCGCCATGGCCATGTTCGGAAGGAGAGGGACGCCATGATGGGCGCGTTTGGGTTCAGGCCGGGCACTGCCAGAGTGCTCGTTACAACTAATGTGTGGGCGAGGGGCATCGATGTTCTATAACTCCAAGTAGGATTCAACCTGCTTGTCGTGGGTGAGGGACATGGATGTTCGACCCTCCAAGTGAGAAGCATGCTTTGGCGATCACAGCCTGGTCGCGATCCACAAAGGGGTGTCGCGATCCACAAAGGGGTGTCGCGATCCACAAAGGGGTGTCGCGATCCACAAAGGGGTGACGCGGGCAGGAGAGCTTGTGGACCAACGCCTTCTGCTGATGCATTCTTTTTTGCCCCAGCCACATCCATATCCTCCTCCTCCCCCACTGCCAGCTGTCCCTGGTGTTCAACTCCGATCTGCCCAATAGTGTTGAGGCTGCTGCTGCTGCCTGCGTGTTTGACCTACCGTCCTACGTCTCTCTAGTGACCAACCGCGACAGCTGCTGCTGGTGCGTGTTTGGCTGTCAACTCTTTGTTTGGCCTGTCCTATTGCCGCCCCCACTCGCAGGTGTCGCTGGTGATCAACTACGATCTGCCCAACAGCAGAGAGCTCTACATTCACCGCATTGGCCGCTCCGGTCGCTTTGGCAGAAAGGTGTGTTGCTGGCGCATCGCAGCCTTGGCCTGGGGTGGAGATCCTTGGCATGTGCTCTGGCATGTTCTCTGGCATGTGCTCTGGCATGTGCTCTGGCATGTTCTCTGGCATGTGCTCTGGCATGTGCTCTGGCATGTTCTCTGGCATGTGCTCTGGCATGTGCTCTGGCATGTGCTCTGGCATGTGCTCTGGCATGTGCTCTGGCATGTGCTCTGGCATGTGCTCTGGCATGTGCTCTGGCATGTGCTCTGGCATGTGCTCTGGCATGTGCTCTGGCATGTGCTCTGGCATGTGCTCTGGCATGTGCTCTGGCATGTGCTCTGGCATGTGCTCTGGCATGTGCTCTGGCATGTGCTCCTTTCCTCCCACTTTTCCCCCACTCGGCTTCTTTCCCCTCCCCACCTTCAACCTTCCTTCTCTGGTGCACTCCTTCGCCTGCGCGTCGTCTTACCGCTTTTCTCTGGTGTGCCGTTGCTGGCGCTGCAGGGTGTGGCGATCAACTTCGTACGGAGCGACGACATCCGCATTTTGCGAGACATAGAGCAATACTACAGCACACAGATCGATGAAATGCCCATGAACGTTGCTGACTTGATTTAATGTCACCATATTGTACTGTAGTAACCATCCCCTGCAGTGTGAGCTCATGCGCGTCTATGATATGTGTCAATTGTGTTTTGTGTATAAATGCTGCATGGGCTTTTTTTAGGCTAGTTATTATTCCTCATTCTGACATAGTGCCCACTGCCTGAAGTGTACGCATCGTATCAGCCAATAGATCTTCGCCGCTCCCCGTAATTCTGGGTTTTCGCGGGGCTCCACCTCCCGTGTTCACCATCGATGGTGCGCCGAGACTGACAATTGCTGCCACAAGTATTCGCTACCTGTTGTGCTGGCGTCATCGCTGGTGGGCGCCATGTCGGGATCGACGGTGTTGAGTGGCGGGAAGTCGGAGGAGGAGCTGCGGCAAGAGATCGAGGAGATCGAACGGCAGCAGGCGCAGGTCAGACGATCGCCACCCTGGCATGTGCGCTGGTCACTTACCTGATAACATACATGCGTCGTATCCCCCTAACGCCGCCCTTCTCTCGGTTTTGCGGTTTCCGCCTTCCGCCGTCGCGGCCGCCATCCCTCGACGTTCATCCATCCGTCTATTTCTGCCCTTCCTTCGCTCCTCGCTTCCCCCCTCTCCTTCGCCGATGCGCAGAAACCGATGATTCTTCTTTTCTCATTCATTCTGCGCCGCGCTCTTTTTCCCGCCCCCCGCTTCTGCGCCCTCCGTTTCCGCCTTCTGTGTTTCGTGTGTCTCCGCGCCCATCTCCCTCTCCCCACCACCAGGTGGAGGACAGTCTCCGCGCAATCACCTCGCGCCTGCCGCCCAGCATAAGGCGCTCGCTGCCCCCCGCGCCCCCCGCCATCCGAGCGCAACCCATCCGCGCACCCCGCCGCTTCCCCTTCCCCGGCAGCAGCTCCGACCTCCCAGGCGGCGCCGGCGCGGGCAATGGGGGGGCGCGCGCTGGTGGGCTTTCGTTCGCTCGGCGCAGCCAGGTGGGGAGCGATGGGGACACGGGGATCGGCGAGGAGGGCAATGACGAGGGCGATGGGGAAACGGGCAGGCGGAGGGGGTGGGGCGGCGGGGATGTAGATGAGCAGGAGGGGGGAGAGGGGTGGGCTGTGGAGGGCAAGGGTTGCTGGGGGCCGGCAGAAGCAAAGGGAAGGAGGAATGATGTGCCGCCTGATCGCGCGCTTAGCCCCTGCTTGTTGGGCCTGTCGCCTGATAGGTGCTCCCTGCCTGCCCATGATTGTGTGGCGGTTATCGGTCTTCTCTGATAGCTTCATACAACTTCACACCTGCATCTCGTGTGCGATGCATCTCGTGGGCGATGCATCTCGTGGGCGATGCATCTCGTGTGCGATGCATCTCGTGGGCGATGCATCTCGTGTGCGATGCATCTCGTGTGCGATGCATCTCGTGTGCGATGCATCTCGTGGGCGATGCATCTCGTGGGCGATGCATCTCGTGTGCGATGCATCTCGTGTGCGATGCATCTCGTGGGCGATGCATCTCGCATGCGATGCATCTCCTTACTTCCCCACTCTTCCCTCGTCCTCGCATCTCTCCTCTCCCCGATTCCCCGCCCTGGCACTATTTGACGCCCCTCCCCCGCCATTCATCAGCCCGATGCTGTGTTGGCGGATGCTGACGTGGCAGCTGTCACCAAGAGAAGACGGCTGATGTCAGCAGTGACTCGGGTATGGAAAGGCAGGGAAGGGAAGGTAGGGTGATTGGGATGTGGGAGGCACTTGGCACGGGCAGCCCAGGGGAAGAGGGTGCTTGGGGGGGAGAGGGGGGATGGCTGATGAGGGAAGGAGAGGAGAAAGGATGGTGGGTGGTGGAAGGATGGTGGGTGGTGGAAGGATGGTGGGTGGTGGAAGGATGGTGGGTGGTGGAAGGATGGTGGGTGGTGGAAGGATGGTGGGTGGTGGAAGGACGGCGGGTGGTGGAAGGATGGTGGGTGGTGGAAGGATGGTGGGTGGTGGAAGGATGGTGGGTGGTGGAAGGATGGTGGGTGGTGGAAGGATGGTGGGTGGTGGAAGGATGGTGGGTGGTGGAAGGATGGTGGGTGGTGGAAGGATGGTGGGTGGTGGAAGGATGGTGGGTGGTGGAAGGATGGTGGGTGGTGGAAGGATGGTGGGTGGTGGAAGGATGGTGGGTGGTGGAAGGATGGTGGGTGGTGGAAGGATGGTGGGTGGTGGAAGGATGGTGGGTGGTGGAAGGATGGTGGGTGGTGGAAGGATGGTGGGTGGTGGAAGGATGGTGGGTGGGTGCTTGGACATTTGTGCGTGCTTGTATGTGCCTGCATGTATGTGCGTGCATGTATGTGCGTGCTTGTATGTGCCTGCATGTATGTGCCTGCATGTACGTGCGTGCATGTACGTGCGTGCATGTACGTGCGTGCATGTACGTGCGTGCATGTACGTGCGTGCATGTACGTGCGTGCATGTATGTGCCTGCATGTATGTGCCTGCATGTACGTGCGTGCATGTACGTGCGTGCATGTACGTGCGTGCATGTACGTGCGTGCATGTACGTGCGTGCATGTACGTGCGTGCATGTACGTGCGTGCATGTACGTGCGTGCATGTACGTGCGTGCATGTACGTGCGTGCATGTATGTGCCTGCATGTATGTGCCTGCATGTATGCGCCTGCATGTATGTGCGTGCTTGTATGTGCCTGCATGTATGTGCGTGCATGTATGTGCGTGCATGTATGTGCGTGGATGTATGTGCGTGCATGTATGTGCGTGGATGTATGTGCGTGCATGTATGTGCTGCATGTATGTGCTGCATGTATGTGCGTGCGTGCATGTATGTGCTGTGTGTATGTATGTGCGTGCATGTATGTGCGTGCATGTATGTGCGTGCATGTATGTGCGTGCATGTATGTGCGTGCATGTATGTGCGTGCATGTATGTGCGTGCATGTATGTGCGTGCATGTATGTGCGTGCATGTATGTGCGTGCATGTATGTGCGTGCATGTATGTGCGTGCATGTATGTGCCTGCATGTATGTGCGTGCATGTATGTGCCTGCATGTATGTGCGTGCATGTATGTGCGTGCATGTATGTGCGTGCATGTATGTGCGTGCATGTATGTGCGTGCATGTATGTGCGTGCATGTATGTGCGTGCATGTATGTGCGTGCATGTATGTGCGTGCATGTATGTGCGTGCATGTATGTGCGTGCATGTATGTGCGTGCATGTATGTGCGTGCATGTATGTGCGTGCATGTACGTGCGTGCATGTACGTGCGTGCATGTACGTGCGTGCATGTACGTGCGTGCATGTACGTGCGTGCATGTATGTGCCTGCATGTATGTGCCTGCATGTACGTGCGTGCATGTACGTGCGTGCATGTACGTGCGTGCATGTACGTGCGTGCATGTACGTGCGTGCATGTACGTGCGTGCATGTACGTGCGTGCATGTACGTGCGTGCATGTACGTGCGTGCATGTACGTGCGTGCATGTATGTGCCTGCATGTATGTGCCTGCATGTATGCGCCTGCATGTATGTGCGTGCTTGTATGTGCCTGCATGTATGTGCGTGCATGTATGTGCGTGCATGTATGTGCGTGGATGTATGTGCGTGCATGTATGTGCGTGGATGTATGTGCGTGCATGTATGTGCTGCATGTATGTGCTGCATGTATGTGCGTGCATGTATGTGCGTGCGTGCATGTATGTGCGTGCATGTATGTGCGTGCATGTATGTGCGTGCATGTATGTGCGTGCATGTATGTGCGTGCATGTATGTGCGTGCATGTATGTGCGTGCATGTATGTGCGTGCATGTATGTGCGTGCATGTATGTGCGTGCATGTATGTGCGTGCATGTATGTGCGTGCATGTATGTGCGTGCATGTATGTGCGTGCATGTATGTGCGTGCATGTATGTGCGTGCATGTATGTGCCTGCATGTATGTGCGTGCATGTATGTGCGTGCATGTATGTGCGTGCATGTATGTGCGTGCATGTATGTGCGTGCATGTATGTGCGTGCATGTATGTGCGTGCATGTATGTGCATGCATGTATGTGCCTCCATCCATATGTGTGCTCGCTGGTGCGTGCATGATTGCATCTGCGTGGCTGTTGTGCGTTCATGGGTATGTGCATGCATGTGTATCACCATGTGTATCACCATGTGTATCACCATGTGTATCACCATGTGTATCACCATGTGTATCACCATCCTCTGTCCCCTTGTGTGTTGATGCATCCGTGCATGTGCACGATTAACCGTGTGCGCATCCATGCCTCCATGCGCGCATGACTCGCATCCTCGCGTGTTGCAGGTGGGGCCGGACGGGGACCCCATCGACCCACGGCGAGCACCTGACTCAGATGACGTCATGCACGAAGGCAGAGTCGCTCACCCGGACGCGCCCACAGACAGCCGCCCGCACACCGCTGCCTCACCCCCTCCCCCTCCGCTTGCCCCAGGCCCCCCCTCCGCCCCTGCCCCTGCGCCTGAGCCTGCCCCCCCCCCGCCACGCCCCGTGCTGAAAATGGACCCGGTGGCCCGGCGCCGCCACCGCAACATGCTGGGGGCGCTGCTGGTGGGCACGCTGCAGGTGAGATCTTCAATTGCCATGGACGTGTGCATGAGGTTCAGAGCAGTGCGGTTCAGAGCAGTGCGGTTCAGAGCAGTGGGGGAGATGAGCCGAGGTCCACCGCAACGTGCTGGGGCGCTGCTGCTGGACACGCTGCAGATGAGAGCGATGGGGCACACTTCATTTGAAAGAGGAGAGTGCAGATGGCGAAAGAGGATGCTGGAAACTGCCGTGCCATTGTAACATGCTGCTGCTGGTGGGCATGCTGCTGCAGGCAGGGTAGAACTGCTCTTGGTGAAGATGATGTTGGTTGGTGGGGCGCATGGTGGGGCGCATGGCGGGGCGCATGGCGGGGTGTCTGGGGCGCGCTCTCTCCCACGGGCATCAAATGCCTTTTCTGTGCCCCGTGCTCTCCACCCTCCACTTCGATTTTACTTGCCCTTCTTCTCCTCATCCCTATTCTTCCTCCTCCTCCCCCCCCCCCCCCCGGTTTTCTTCTCTCCCCCCTGCCTCTTTTTTGTGCTTACAGCGAGCACGAGAGGAGGAGGAGAGGGATGCGGAGCTCTTGGCTCGGAGGGCGTTGATCCAGCAGAAGGTGGGCAGGGAGGATGAGGGCATGGGGGGACCAGGTTCATGGGCATGGATTGGATTCTATTGGATTGGATTGGGTGTTGTGGATTGGATGTCATGGTGCTGCAATACATGGCATGTGATGCATTGTATGGCATGTGATACATTGTATGGCATGTGATGCATTGTATGGCATGTGATACATTGTATGGCATGTGATGCATTGTATGGCATGTGATGCATTGTATGGCATGTGATACATTGTATGGCATGGGATACATTGTATGGCATGTGATACATTGTATGGCATGTGTTGCAGTGCGTGGGTTGGGACTTGCTGCATGGCGGGCGGTGCAGTGCCCGTTCTTTTTTCCCCTCAATTCCACTGCTCTCTTGTTTCCCCTCTCTTCCACGGCTCTTTTGTTTCCCCTCTCTTCCACTGCTCTCTTGTTTCCCCTCTCTTCCACTGCTCTCTTGTTTCCCCTCTCTTCCACTGCTCTCTTGTTTCCCCTCTCTTCCACTGCTCTCTTGTTTCCCCTCTCTTCCACTGCTCTCTTGTTTCCCCTCTCTTCCACTGCTCTCTTGTTTCCCCTCTCTTCCACTGCTCTCTTGTTTCCCCTCTCTTCCACTGCTCTCTTGTTTCCCCTCTCTTCCACTGCTCTCTTGTTTCCCCTTTCTTCAACTGCTCTCTTGTTTCCCCTCTCTTCCACTGCTCTCTTGTTTCCCCTCTCTTCCACTGCTCTCTTGTTTCCCCTCTCTTCCACTGCTCTCTTGTTTCCCCTCTCTTCCACTGCTCTCTTGTTTCCCCTCTCTTCCACTGCTCTCTTGTTTCCCCTCTCTTCCACTGCTCTCTTGTTTCCCCTCTCTTCCACTGCTCTCTTGTTTCCCCTCTCTTCCACTGCTCTCTTGTTTCCCCTCTCTTCCACTGCTCTCTTGTTTCCCCTCTCTTCCACTGCTCTCTTGTTTCCCCTCTCTTCCACTGCTCTCTTGTTTCCCCTCTCTTCCACTGCTCTCTTGTTTCCCCTCTCTTCCACTGCTCTCTTTTCTCCGTCCTCTTCTGTCTACTTCGTCCTGTCTGAAGGGCCTGTATAGTGTGGCGAGGTTGCTCGCAAGTCATGTGTTCGTTTGGATTCGCTGCCCCTTGTATTTTCCCCTCTCTACGTGCTGGGTGTGTGTGTCGCTGTGAGTGGGGTGCAGGCAGAGCAGCGAGTGGCCGAGGAGAGTGAGCGGTTGAGGGAGAGGGAGAGGGAGAAGATCATACAGCAGCGCAAGCGAGACCTCGTGCGCCCTCTCCTCCCCATGCACCTACAAATACTGCTTCCCTGCACTCCCATCTCCCTGCACTCCCATCCCTGTGCACCCCTCATTCTTCGCCCCGCGGCTCACGGTTCTCCCAATGCACCCATGCCGTTTGTCTAGCACCACCACCCTTCGCTTCCCTGCACTGCACACTCCGCCAACTTTCGTGCCATCTGCTGTCCTCCCGCCATCTGCTGTCCTCCCGCCATCTCATGAATCTCCTCATCCTCATTCGCCTTGCCATGCACCATTCACGATTCACACGCTCTCAATTTTACTTGTTCTGTGCGTCGTGCACCACCACCACTCTTGTTCTCTCTTTCTTTGCCGTCTCATTCGTCTCTCTCTCTCCCTCCGTGCACGGCGCATGCACCCTTCATCCCTGCAGGTGCTGCGGGCGCGGCTGATGGCCAAGGCGGAGGAGAAGGACGTGCATCTGCTGCTGCGCCACTGGCGCCACCACCACGCGCTGCTCTCGCACTTCATCCGGTACATTGTTTGTGTTTGGCACGGAAGGTGGGGCGGGCCGGGGCTATGAAGGCTAGGAGTATACACAGCGTCTGTGAGGCGGGTTTCTGTTGGTGGCTGTGTTGGCTCGGGCAGGTCAAAAACCATTCACGGGCAGGCGGATTTTTGGGTTAAAGACCGAGTACCAAATGGCATGAATTGAGCATCAAAGCAAGGCGTCAGATGGGATTTTTAGCCACTCATCAAATCCGGGTTCCCTACCAAAGCCACCCGTTAAAGTCCGTTTCGGCCAAAATCCCTCGAAACCTACACTTACAGCCCGTTTTCGAGCCAGAATCGACCCGTTAACCCCCGGGTTCAGAGATAACCGAATCCGTCAAAAAGGGAGTTCCGGTCGAAAAACCCCGTTGAAGGATCGAAATCCGGGTAATTACCCGTCAAAAATAGGCCCTGCACCAAATCTATTAGGTGTAAAAGCCTCAGATTTTGGCCGGCTGTAGAAGTGTCGCCAAAGCTGTCGAGACGAATTTGGGGGGTTTCGCGAGGCCCGAATCTCTGACATTCGCCACTTCGCCTGAAGTTTCCCTAAGCTCGTCAACCAACCCCACGGGAACCAAGAACATGAGTGTCGAATGCTAAAATGGACCATGTATGTTAGGAGATCCGACTGTGGTTGAGGCCATCACGATTCGACGACGAGTTGGGACGGACGGAATAGGAAGTGATGGGGAGGAGGTGGGGTGGTCAGCGGCTGTTGGGGGGGTTTGGTGTACTTCGAGTTCAAAATTCAAACTCCAAGTTGAGTTCACGATGTGCGGGAATTCTGTGTTTTTTTCGGTCAGCCTGCCCATACGTTTTTCGGCGTATGTAGTACACAAAAAATCGCAGCGTAATATTTTCGGTGCATTCAAACGCAATATGTAAACACAATTGCGCGCCTTTTCGAACTTAGGTGCCCAGTCCCTGGCGATCTCTCCTCCTTTCTCCACCCTCTATCTCGTCTTCTCGGCCCTTGCATGTAGCACCAAGGCAAGGTCGCCCATCATGTATCTATCTGCCATCTGTGATCTTTGCGCTTCCACCTCATTCCCTCCCATCCCTCATTCCTCTCTGCGAGCAGCACCAAGGCCAGGCCGCCCATCATGTTTCTGCCTGCCCGGCCATCAGCAACGACTGACAGGCTGCTGCAAGCACAGGAGCAGGTGAGGGCATGGCAGGCAGCACAAGGTGGGGCGGGGTGAGTGCGTTGAGGCAGTGTCAGCAGCAGAGGGTCCGCCCTGTCACTCTTCATTTCTCCCTGTCTCTTCGCCGCTTTCCCCGTCTGTGTGCACCTTGGCCGATTCTCAACTGCATGCCTGCCTTTTCCCCTCTTCCTGACTCTCTGCGTCCCTCTCCCCCCTCACGCTCCCCTCATGTGCCCCCGCGCGTGCCCTGTCAATCCTCCCTGCGCGCCACCAGGGCCTGGCGGAGTGGCAGCAGCAGCAGGAGAGGGAGGTGCAGCAGTTTGTGGCCGACACACTGCAGCGACACCTGGCGGACGCTGATAGGCTCATGCTGCCCTTGGGCGGAGAAGGGGGGCAGGTGGTGGGGGGAGGGGAAGCAGTGGGAGGCGGTGAGGTAGTCGGGGGGAACAAGGCTATGGAGGAAGAGCAGGGTGCTGGCTTCCACTCTGACGGCCAGAGGAGAGAAGCAAGTGCAGACGGGGGCGAGGAGAGGGACGAGGGCAAAGAGAGGGAAGCAAGTGAAGGGAAGGTGAAGGAAGAGAGGGACGCAGGGGCTGATGGGGAGAGGCTGATAGAGGAAGACATGGACGAGGGGGTGAAGGGGGTGGACGAGGGGGTGAACGGGGTGGAGGAGGGGGACACGTTCCAAGCAGGAGGCAATGGCCAAGGCAAGGAGAGCAGCGGCGCACGGCAGGAGCAAGAGGAGGTTGAGAATGGTAAGGAAAGTGAGGCGAGGGGGGATGGGCGGACGAGGAAACCTCAAGGGGGCGACACTAAGGTGGAGAAAGTTCTGGGGGAGGGTGATGGAGAGGGCAGGATGGAGAGGGGATCTGGAAGGGGCAAGGGCACGGGTGGCAGGGAGAGGGGAGATGGTGGCAGGGAGAGGGGAGATGGTGGCCAGGAGAAGAGCGGAGGTGGCAGGAAAGGGTCACGTGGAAGCCGCTCCTCACCAGGTCGCTCCCGTGGAAGCCAGTCCCCACGCAGCAGCTCTTCTCATGGGCGCTCCACTGGGTCCTCCGGCAGCCACTCCAGCAGCCATGGGGAGGGCGGGCGGACCAAGGGGTGACTGACTGGTGAGGTCTGGGAGCTGTCATCCGGGAAGGACCCAGAGCTCCTCCTGTTGCTGTGGTAGTGTGGCTTGTTGGGCTGAGAAAAAGCCCTTGGGATCTTTCCAGAGACTAAGTCCCAACTGTAAAGACTTGGGGTAGTGCAGCGGAAGTTGAGGCAGTTGAACCCTTGTACTAGTATGTGAGAACAAGTGATAATAAAAAGGCAAACATACAGCAATATATAGAAGATAAGAAACAGTTGTAGAGTACAGTTGCAGTAGCGGTTTATCGAGTCGTACAGCGACTCGATTGTCGCTTCGGTTACCATCCGTGCTGTTGTAACGGTCAGTCGCAACCTCCAGTTGTGACCCTTCGAGTCCCAAACCCTTCGTGTTCTTTGTCCGCCCCCTCGTGTAACCTCCGTTGACTCGCGTACCCCTTGCAATCTTCCTCGAGTGTAGTGTTACACTTCAGAAACGCTCAAGTCTTTTGATGTACTTTCAACACTCCCCTTCGTTTCTGGAGTGCTGACTTGTTCAGGTCCGATGACGTTTGTTTGTCCGGTCAGCAACATGCAGTAGTCGAATTTTGCTTTTGCCAATTTTTTCGTCAAATAGTCTGCGGCCATTTCTGTTGTCGGGCAGTAACTGAGTTGAAGTCTCCCTTTCGCGATTTCATCTTTGACGAAGAAGTACCGCAGGGCGATGTGTTTGGTTCGGTTGGCGAAGCCGTCCTTGTTTGCGATTTTGATCGCAGATTGGTTGTCGCAGAAGAGTGAGAAGGCGGGCAGGGTCGTGATCTTCGCTTCCTCGAGTAACTCTCGCAGGTAGAGTCCTTCCTTGGTCGCAGTACAAAGGGCGATGTACTCTGCTTCAGCCGAGGATAGTGCGATTAACTCCTGCTTGCTCGACTGCCAGGAGATAGTTCCGATGGGTTCTAGTCGGTAGATGTAGCCCGTCCTAGATCGTCGATTTTCCCTGTCTCCCGCGTGGTCGGCGTCGACGTATCCGAGTAGTTGTACGGACGGTGTTGTCGCTTTGCTGTAGGTAAGTCCGATCGTCGGTGTGGAGACGAAGTAGAGTAGTGCCCGGTTGAGTTCCTCGAGATCTTCCTGTTCCGGTTGCTTCAGATGCGTCGCTAGTTGACTCGCACTATAGGACAGGTCGGGTCGGCAGGTGACTGCTGCGAATAGTAGGCAACCGAGCTTCTGTTGATACTCCTGGATTTGCTTCGCGGGGAGTTTTGCGGAGGCGCTGTTGTTGTTTCCGTAGCGGTAGGGAGTCGGGACCGTAGTCGGCGTCAGTCCGAATTTCTTCGCGACAGTGCCTGCGTACTTTCCAGCGTGTAGGTAGAACGCCGAGTTGTCTTCGACGACATTTAGTCCCAAGTACTGGGTCACTGAGTCGGACACCGTGAGCGTCAGGTCCCCTTTCAGCTCCCCTTCGAACCAGGTGACGATGTCGGTGGTAGAACCGATGTAGAGCAGGTCGTCGACGTAGACTATGAGCAGAATATAATCTCTTCCCTTCTGCAGTCGGTACATGCCTTGGTCATGTGGTAACTGTAGGAATCCGATTTTTACGAGCCGGCCGTGAAGGTGCTGCTGCCAGAGCCGTGGGGCTTGCTTGATCCCGTAAAGGGATTTTTCCAGCTGGCATACTTTTGAAGGGTCGTCGATGAATCCGTGGGGTTGTTCGACGAAGATTTCGGCGTCCACAGGTGCGTACAAGAAGGCGTTTGCGACGTCGATTTGCCGTAGTGGTAGTTTCTTCGTGGCCGCGACGGCGAGTAGGATGCGCAGGGAGGTGTGACGGGAGACTGGGGCGAAGGTCTCTGTGTAGTCGGTTCCGTATCGTTGGTCGAAGCCTCGTACGACCCATCGCGCTTTAAAACGTTCGATGGAGCCGTCCGCGTTGGTCTTAATGCGGTACACCCATTTCCCCGAGAGAATGTTCCTCCCGTTGGTGTTGGTTGCCGGTACTAACTTCCATGTATTCCGGTCTTGGAGGGCTTTTAACTCTTTTTCCATTGCTTCCTTCCATTCCGCCTTATGTTCCCCCCCCAGAGCCTGCGACAGGGTCGATGGCTCGCGCGGAGAAGGCGGCGGCGGGTGCTGGACGGAGACCCATAGTCCTAGGATCTGCAGTCCCGTGGCTGTGTGTCGAGGGGAATTTTCATTCCCGGGATAAGCTGCTTCATCACCGTCTTCAGGATCGGGTAAGAAGTTTGGCCCGATGCGTTCGGAAATATTCGAGTCGACGGGGAGTGGTGTAGCGTAGCCTTGGTCAGCGAAGTGGTAAAAGGTGTCGAGGTTGTTGCTATCGAGGGGATTATCTTCATCGAGTGGAACAGGTACGGAGCAGTAGGGGAGTGGTCCGGCAGCCTCCGAGGCTCCAGGGACGTCTTCTTCTGCTGCGTCAGCCTCGGCAGCATGGTCAGCGAAGGAGCGAAGGCCCGCGAAGCCGTCGGTGGGGTCGTCTGAGTTGGCAATGTTGTCCAGGTAATGCTGCAGCGTCAGTCGCTCGTAGAAGATAACATCACGTGATGCCACCGTATTTTTGTCTTGTATGTCGAGAATCTTCCACGCGTGAAAATGTTTGGCGATGCCGAGGTGTAGTCCCCACCGAGCTCGTTGAGTGAAGCGTCCTGCTCGAGCTGTGTGGGGTCTGTATTGTACCATGCAGCCGAAAACTCGAAGTAATTTTGTGCTGCCCCTTTTTCCCGTCCACAGCAGGTGTGGTGATGCGTTGTTGGGGAGCGATGACGAGGACAACAGGTTGTGCAGGTGGACTGCATGTGTCATCGCGTCTGGCCACAGTGTGTTGGGCAGTTTCATTCCCAGGAGCAGCTTTCGCATTGTCGTCTGCAAGGTCCGGTTCATGCGTTCTGCGACCCCCTGCTGCTGGTGAGCGTATGGTAGGGACACCAGGCGCCTGATTCCTCTTTCCGCCAGATAGGTCCTGAAGCGTTGTGACTGGTATTCCAGTGCGCCGTCTGACTGGAAACTTTTTAGCTTGGTTCCTGATTCCCGTTCGGCGATTGGGAGCCATGTTGTGAAGGCGTCGAAGGCTTGATCGCGCGTCTTGAGGTTGTAATGCCAAGTGTATCTTAATGCTGCATCGACGAAGGTGATGACGTAGTTGAAGTCGGCTTCCGTGTCGTCTCGAGGCATGTTCAAGATGTCGCTGTAGACTTTTTCCATCGTTGCATATGCAGGCGCGCTTGGATTATGATGTGATGGGAAGGGTTGATGAGGAAGATCTGCTTCGGGGCACGTGAAGCACCGTGCGCTAGGTCGTCGAAGTTCTTGGCCGTTCGTTGTTAGGAGGGCGTTGCGTTCTAACACTTCGGCTTGGATGGTTTGTAGTATTGTACTATTTGCAGGGTGCCCGAGGCGTTGGTGCCAGATGTCGTCGGGAGCGCGATGGCCGGGTGAGCGGTGGTATATGTCGGCGTTGGAGAAGAATGCGACGACTGTGGCGGGACTTCGACAGACTTCTCGTGTGATGGGCATAAGTTGATCTGCTTCGGTTGGCGGTCCTCGGACTGCCAGTGGTGGTACTCGGCTTGGTCCTGCTGCTGCTACTGCAGGTGATGGTTGGGACTGGACGCTTGTTGGTACTTGCCGTTCTTGTCTGATAACTGCTAATGCTCGTGTTCTTTCTGCTGCAGGTATGGTGTTGGAGTGCCAGAAGCCGTCACTGTCGAAGTCGGGATCAAGATCCGGCGGGTGTGTCCAGGCGGCGAACGATACGATACCGTCGCTGTCGGCAGTACCGCGGTCGTGGACAAAGTCCAACACGAAGACACCGGACTTCAGGAGGGCACGACCTATGAAGAGGCCGCCCTTCCCGTGGTAAAGCCGGAACTCGTTGGAGAAGGAGTCGCACTCCAGGTGAATCCCCTTGGCCATTAGTTGGCTTACGCTTAGTAGGTTGTATCCCAAGTTGTCGACGATGAGTACTTTGTTGAGCTGAAGTATTACGTTTGTCTCCATGGATTGTAACTGAACCACGCCTTGTCTGTTTGTCTTCAGGTTTTCGTTGTTGGCGACGGTGATGACGACGTCGCGGTTGAGCCGTTTCTCCTGTTGCACGAAGCGTCCCGAGGAGCACATGTGTTGACCGCAGCAGCTGTCCAGGAACCAGGTGTTTCGTCCGGTTGGTTCGGCGTTGGCGACCGCAGCGTACGTCGGATTGACTTGAAGTCCTTGTGAGCGTGGTGGCGGGAAATCTTCTTCGTCTGGCGCGTAAGTGGGTGGTGAGCCGGGTGCACAGTTGTCGATGTGTACCATGCAATTGATAATGTTTGGTGTCTGTTGTGCAGATGTTGAAGAGCGCCTTGGGGGACTTGCTTGGGTTGAAGCAACTTGTGGGTCTGCTGGACGGTAAACGCGAGGGCGGTTGCAGTTGACCTTGGAGTGCCCGGAAGTCTGACAGTTGTGGCAGAACGGCGGCACAAAGGTAGTCCCTCTGTTGTCGCGCTCTTGCTTGCTGCGTCGATTGTAGGTGTTGTCGTTTCTTCGTTGAGTGTAGAAGACTAACTGCTGCTGCTTCCTTGGTTGCCTTTCTTCGAACAGGTCCATCTCCTGTTGTTCAGCGTGAAGCTCGGCGCAGAGGTGCATCTCCGAAATTCTTCCGTGGGCGCGAAGAAGTGATCGTGTGGTTCTCCATTCTGGCCCGAGCCCGGCGAGGACAAGTGTCACGAAGCTTTCTTCAGTGATTGTTCCTCCGCACCGAAGCAGGCGGTCGCGGAGAGTCTGGCATCGACTCATATATTGCATTGCCTTTTCCCCGGTCTTCATCTGTATTGTTGTCAGTTGTTGCATGAGTCTGCTTTGCGTCACGCTGTCGTTTGCTTGATAAAGGCACTTGAGATGATGCCATGCGAGTTCCGCGGAGTTCCCATAACTCCGATATGTTCTGATGCTCTGCTGTTCTTGTGGTGACAGGTTCCGCAGGAGGACTGTATACGCCAGCAGCGACTGATACGTGAAGATCTCTTGCTCCTTTCCAGTGCCGTTGCTTGGAAATGGCAGGGACCCGTTGAAGTATCCCAGAAGATGCGCGGCCTCCATCAGCAGCTCGAACTCGAAGCTCCAGGTAAAGAAGTCGTGTCCGTTGAACGGTGAGGATGTTTGTAACTTAATAACGTGTGAGAATTGAGCCTGAAGACTGAGAATCTCGTTTGGTGTTTGTTGTGATGCAGCTGCTGTTGGTTGGGCACGGGGAGGCATGAACTCGAACGTCCCCGGTGAAGAATGATACGGCGCAAAGGTAGGCGCTTGGTTGTGTCGCCCGAAGGATGAGTTGTCGAGGCTCATCGGCGCTAATCCCATGTTTCCTCCATTGCTCTGTGTTGAATGCGCAGGTGTTCTTGTCTGCTGCTGCTGGTCGAAGTGCGACATGAAGCTGAAGAACCTTTCCATAAGGTTGGGGTCCACGCTTGAAGAGGGAGATGGAGTAACCATCTCTGGTACTCTTCCCGTTGTTTCTTGAGCAGTCCCGGTCTCTGTCTGCAGTCCTGAGGTGTGCAGACCAGAGTTGCCGTGTTGAGTTTCTTGGCCGCTGGGTGAGCCCGTAGAGACTTTCTTGCCCTTGCTGTCCATGTCTTGCAATCAATGAAGTCGTTGAATTGAGTTGAGTTGCAGGTTGGTGATAGAACGTAGTTGCTGGGAGTTTGGTCTCTGACCAGCTCTCATACCATGTTGGGCTGAGAAAAAGCCCTTGGGATCTTTCCAGAGACTAAGTCCCAACTGTTAAGACTTGGGGTAGTGCAGCGGAAGTTGAGGCAGTTGAACCCTTGTACTAGTATGTGAGAACAAGTGATAATAAAAAGGCAAACATACAGCAATATATAGAAGATAAGAAACAGTTGTAGAGTACAGTTGCAGTAGCGGTTTATCGAGTCGTACAGCGACTCGATTGTCGCTTCGGTTACCATCCGTGCTGTTGTAACGGTCAGTCGCAACCTCCAGTTGTGACCCTTTGAGTCCCAAACCCTTCGTGTTCTTTGTCCGCCCCCTCGTGTAACCTCCGTTGACTTGCGTACCCCTTGCAATCTTCCTCGAGTGTAGTGTTACACTTCAGAAACGCTTAAGTCTTTTGATGTACTTTCAACAGGCTCAACAGGAATTAGATTGCCCAGTCTGGAACCAGGTGTATTTGTGTGGCATACCAACATGTTCTCGGTCCCATTTGGCACTGTGCTGAACCGCACAGAACCAACCCGTGTCCACTTGCACCGTACTGTACCATGTGCATTTGAGAAGAGGCATGCCTGGTAAGAGGTACAGAAACACGCCCTAAAGAGGACCGTAGAATGATGTGTCTGACATGCGTAACATTCAGTCAATTCGAACTGAAGGAATCACTATATCGCAGACTTAAAGCCGGCGACTACATTTGTCGGCCTGGTATTGCGTGATTGGCTTACGAGAGAGGCGATACTGGAAAACTGACGACAGAGTATGCGGACTTCGCAAGCATCGAGAAGTGGGAGTTGCGAGATTGGAGGGGGGAGGGAAATTTGAGGGGGAGGGGATCGAAATTTGGGGAGAGGGAGGAGGGGGGGATCGTAATTGGAGGGGGAGGGGGAATCGAAATTGGACGGGGAAGGGGGGAATCGCAATTGGAGGGGGAGGGGGAATCGCGATTGGAAGGGGGAGGGGGGAATCGCAATTGGAGGGGGAGGGGGAATCGCAATTGGAGGGGGAGGCGAATCGAAATCCTGGGGTGAGCCAAATCTGTACACAATTGTGATCGAGGCCAGATTCAAATGTTTTGAAAGGTTTGGGCGAGTTAGCGGCAAAGTAGCTCAGTCCATTAGGTTACCTCCTTTCAAATGTTTCTGATTTGAAAACAGCAATCACAAATGTAGACGCGGGCTTTAAGGTAGTGTTTGCATGCCCGTTCTATTTTTCGAGTCAAAATATGATTTTCCAGACACAACCAATACTAGATTTACAGGAAACTAAACAAATCAAATCAATATTATGATGGGCACAATCCCCTACATGAATCTAAACAAGCTAGTGGTCGTGCTAATACCAGATCATTTCTCTACCGCATTCCTAACCTGGATTCTAACCCGCGACGCGATCAGCTTAGCCCTACTCTCACGATGTACCGCAAGTCACGCTTCTATTTTCTCTACACCACCTGTTTCCATCCGCCATACTCTCTGTAAAGGTACATTGTTCTGTGCCGCTTGGCGCGCGCAATATCCTTCCGCGTGGGCCGCTTCAGCCACGCGCCCTTGCGCGCGTCTTTGCGGAAGGCGCAGGCGGGCTTGAGCTTGGGGTCGTCGGTGCGGCACGCGTCTTTCAGGTCGAAGCGACGGAACTTGACGGTCACGTTGCCCTTGGAGTAATCGCTCTTCCACGGCAGCCAGTACGACGCGTCCCAGATCGACCCCTGCGGGTGGGTGGGGCGACGAGGACGGGCGGATGTGTTTGACGCGCGTCACACGAAGGACTGACGGATATGGAAGATAGTTGAGCAGTGCAGCGAGCACAGGGCGTCGCGAGGTGCGATGAGGACCGCATTGCGGCGAGGAGCGGCTCAACGCGGATGGCGGAAATGCGGGAGGGGCAGGTGGCAGAATGGTGTGGTAGGACCCAAGGATGAGGGAAGATCAGAATCAATTGAGAGTCGGCTTCAAATTCAGGCGGAGGGACGAGGGGAAGCGCACCATGACTTTCATGGGGAGCGAGGGGAATGGCTTGCCGGGTTCGCGCCACGTGATGCGGATGGGCTGGCCGTCGATCTTCCACACCACCCAGTTGGGCGCGTAGACCATGGTGTACGTGTGGAAGTCGGCCGACGGGTCGAACGCGAACTTGTACTACGGTGGGGGAGGGGGGGAAAGGGGAAAAAGGGGGAGACGGAGAAAGGGGAAGGGAGGCGCGGAAAGTCTTCAACACGACCCCGTTGCGCGCGTAGACCATGGTGCACTTGTGCACGGTACGAGCGCGAACTTGCGCTGGCGAAGGGAACGAAGAGTTGTAGCATCTCGCAGAAAGAATGCAAACGTTTCGAATCTGGAGAATCTGCAGTGATGTTTGTCTGACGATCGCGCAGGCTGCGCGCATTCCCTGCGCTCCTCACTTCGTAACTTCAAATCCTCGGCGCCGTCTACCGCTGTTGTTTTCCACTCGTACATAACCCGCCACATTCGTTGAGCCCATGAGATCGTCTGTCCACCGTGCATGTAGCACTGTTTCGCGTGCATGCGCCTTTCCCTCGACGCTTTAAATTCGTGCTTAATCTTGGTAGGTTTCTAGTCCCTTGCTTCCCCTTCCCCTCCGCGCACCTGCTCGACGAACGTGTACCCCCCAGCGATGACGTTGGTATGGATCTTGATCTTGGAGGGGTCGTTCCACCCGAGGAACTCGAAGTCCATCTCGTCGTGCACGTCGCGGTAGTCCAGCCCCTCGCCCGAGATGAGGTAGATGCACGGGATGAGCCCGCCCGAGTACCCCGGCGGCAGCTTCATCTTCACCTCGAAGATGCCGTACTGAAAGTAGCTCTTCGACTCGAACGCTGCGCGCACGGGGGAAGGAGGCAGAGAGATCTTGCGGGGAGCAATCCGTGTGTTTAGCATTCTCGTCAGCGGAATGCGGGAAAAGTAATTGCTGTGCCTCAGGGGGAGTGGAGTGAAGGCGAGGCTTTCTATGCTGCTCGAGTGACAGCATGTCTCGGGCTTGTAGCATTACAGCGCAAGCGTGCATCCGGCTTGTGGCCCTATAGCGAAGGCGTACCTCCCATCTTGTTCTGGGCGGCGGTGAGCGAGACCGTGCCGTCTGGTCCGACCTGGCACTCCGTGCCATTGCAGAATGACGGCAGGCGGAAGTGCTTGTTGAACGACGCGTCGTAGCCGGAGTTGGGCCCCGCCAGGCACAACTGCACTCCCGCGAGGACCAGCGCTACGAGCACGAGGGCAGTGGGAGCAGGCATGATATCGCGCGGAACACTGAGAGGAGCGGCCGAGGGGCGAATGCGAGGAGAATGACTGCACGAGGAGAAGTGTAGCCACTTCAAGCGGTTTGAATTGTTAATCGCTTAGGAGCGGGGAGGCATTAAAACCCCCGGGAGCCCCACTGCCCGCACTCATGGATGCACTACGCTGCAAAATGTGACCATAGGCGAGGTAGGTGACACTCGCTGCCGCCAACCGACAAGCCCGTAATTCCCAGGGTGGGTCGAAGCGCGACCAAGGGTGTGCGAGGATGAACCAATGACAAGGGCCTCAACGAAGTGCCGCCACCCAGGGTTGGGGAGACGCTAAACCCAGGGCTGGGCTGGAGTGTACTGCAGTTTTGTGAATTGCATCTGCAATTTGTGGCCCCTAGAGGTCTGGTGTCGTGCAGATTTCTGCAGTTATGCGGTGGTAGCACACAGAAGCCACCGCTACAAGTCGGGGCGCAAGCACTGTAACGGGGAGAGGCATTTGCTAGAATCACGAGCCGCAGCGTTGCGGATTGCGTTGGATTACACTGAATTCAGATAAAGGGAAAATACATCGGCGCTCAGTACTAGGGGCCTCGATAACATGTACAGTCAGTGACAAGATATAAACAATCAGAATTAGCGAGTTCGCAACATGTTTCATCAGTCGGGTTCCACCATTAGTCAGAAACTACAGGAAAAAAGCTCCACGAATGGTCAGTAGAAGTAACCCTCGCCCATTTCGGAACGTTTTCCCGCCCGCGCCAGCCCGATTTCGTCACCATTGTGGCTGGCACGATATTTTCTCCGAGGTCCAAGCGCAGTTCGAGTGAAAAAACACAAAATGTCCCAATCAAAATTCGTTGGACATTTGTTTGTCGAGACACATGAAAACACGATTTTGTTTCGAAGCACATAATTTTGTCCCAGAGTGTAGCGCGTCCCGCGATGATAAAAATTTACGGCTTTGTCTCTACCGCATTTTCTGCCCAAAACAAAAGTCAAGCCATAAACTTGTCATTCCCGAGTTGCCCGAAAACAAAAGCACATATAGATAGCTACGGAGGTTTGTTTTTGGGAAATGAATATGTTTAAAAACACTTCAAGGTACTCTCAGAACCGCATTTAATTTTGTATTTATTTCAATACAACGAGTCTATTAGAATTCTGCAGGTTGTCATTTGAATTTTCAACAAATATATTTACCAGAAAAGTTTTCCACCGAAATTACAAGTCTACAGGTCTTGTCATGCTCGAAACAAATTAGCGCACGTGCACTACATTTTATTTTTCACACCTCATTGGCTTAGCGCCCATCTCGGATAGATTTTCCCTTTCGTGTCAAATGTTTTTTTTTTTTTTTTTTTTTTTTTTTTGCGTTTGTTAATGTTTGAACAATGCTGCACCCAATGTGCGGCCTGCTGTGGCCCAATTAGCTTATGACAGAAATACGCGATGTCTCAATTTTGGAAATTTGTGTGCGCGACGTCCAACAATTTTTAATTTGGGAATATTTTACGCAGTTCTCTCGAACTACGCCTGGAGCTTGAGAAAAATATCGCGCCAGCCACAATGATGATGAAATTGGGCTGGCGCGGGCGGGAAAACGTTCCGAAATGGGCGAGGGTTACTTCTACTAACCATTCGTGGAGCTTTTTTCCTGTAGTTTCTGACTAACGGTGGAACCCAACTGATGAAACTTGTTGCAAACTCGCTAATTCTGATTGTTTATATCGTGTCACTGACCATACATGTTATCGAGGCCCCTAATACTGAGCGCCGATGTATTTTCCCTCAGATAAATTGCATCATGTAAAATCAAAGCATCTAAACCGCTACCAATAAGGTTTGTAAGTTTGGATAGTAGAGTCTGCGCGTATCTGTGCCATGACGGAGAGCTGTTCGCATTATAGGGGAGGAATGAGGTCTGGTTGGTCGAAGCAGAGGGAAATGCGTTAGCGGAAAACGACTTGCAGAGCGAGTATGAGGCTATCAGGCAAGCCGGAGCCAGAAAAAGCGCTAGTATGAGAGCTTGGCATTAGGCATTGACTGCCGTGCGTGAGTTGGATGTGGGATTTGATGTGGCAAGCCTAGCGGGAGGTGAGGGTTGAAGGATTGGCCACCAGCTAGCGCCGAGCTTGTGGGGAACGACGAGCGTGAGAGATGCGCGCGTGCGTTGCGCATAGCGGAGGACTACGGGAACTACTTGAGGCGGTGGAAAGGCAAAAACGTGTTCAATCGTCCAAGAAATCATGAAGGTGTTGATTGCTGTGGTTGTGGGGTGTGGGTGTTCAGAGCAGAAACGACTTAGCTTGGCACTGCTGGCGCTGGCAAATAGATCTATAGAATGGGGGCCTAAGCATCATTCCAGAAGGTTGAACCATGGTGTCTTCAATGTGTAATCATCGCGATTTTGTAATTTTGAGAGTTCATCCTATGATGAGGCGGACTCAGTAAGTAGTACACGTGCGGATGATCGATTTGCAGGCGAGGGTGAGATCAGAGCTCCGTGAGCCACCCTTCTTCAAGATGAAAAATACTCCCTGATTATCCATGCGCATGAGCACGTGTTTGTTCCGGAATTGATCGCTATATGTCTGCAATGCCCAGAGTACCCCTTCAATCTCGCGATGAGTGCCGGACGTGTATCGCAAATCGTCTGGCATGTTCATGCTGGCTTTACGAATGTTGCTGGAGAATGTGTCGAGAGTGGCCCCCCAGCCGTGGCTGCTTGCGTCGACATGAATGATGGCGTCGTAGCTGCATCACACATGAAACGGCGGGCCATTGAAGTGGTCAAACTCAGTTGACCAAAATTCCAGCTCCTCACAAGCAGAAGACGACAGCAAGATTTTGCTGTTCCATGAAGAAGCGTCATTGATGGTCTGCAATAGCGCATGGCTGAATGCTCGAGTAGTGGCCTCGAGTGTGAGTGCCATTAAAGCGAGCATGTCTGTAACACGTGCGACATGCCGGACGGGGACCTTGGACTGGTTGCGTCCATCCTCCAGGAGCGACTTGATGATAGATTGTAGGGAGTTGCGTCATTCAGAGCCCACTGAGAAGTGGCTGAGTTTGGTGTAAAGTTATGAACCCAGAAAGTGCAGATATTGGGTGGGACGAAGTTGAGATTTCTTGGCGTTGATCACCACGCCCGCGCTGCGTAAATTGCAAACGATTTGTGTGCAGGTGTCCAGGGCATTGGCTTCAGAACGACAAAGGAAGAGGATGTCGTCCACATACGGTATGACCCGCACGCCCTTCGTTATCCAGCGTCGTGCAAGCTGCTTAATTAACTGTGTGAAGATATGAAAGGAGTTGTAGCCAATCCGAACGCAAGGGAGTGGAAACAATATGAGTGTCCTTCAAATTGGAAACCCAAGAATTTCCAGCTTGACGGGTGAATGTTAACGTGGTGGTAACCATAATTCATGTCGATTGAGAACATCCTATCACCCGCGCGCCCAGTTAGCAACACGAGTGAGTCCCTCGTACTTGAATTTTGGAATTTGCACTTCCTCGTTGACTTGCGCGAGCGAGGATGAGCCGACATTTGTAGCGCTGTTCTACGACGTTGAGAGGGCTGGCGCACGTAAGCGATGCTTCTGGCACCTTCGATGCCGCACCGGTTTTGAGGAGGTCTACAGTAGCTGACTTTGTAAATTCCGCGTGAAATTTAGCTCCTCCGTGGTTGGAGTTACGAAACGATTGTGGGGGCCCATGTTTCTAGGGCATCCAATAGCCTCTGTCAATCATTGACATGATCAAGCTACTAGTGCATCACGAACGCCACCATGTTTGCGAATTCCGCAGGCGCCCGCGCATCGTGGAGACCGTCCGGTCGGTAACAGAGTATTCAAATGGATCTCTGATTCGTTCTGGGTTGTGCCGATTGTATCTGCCACGGGAATCCAATAAAAGGGAAAAACGTGACGTAAGCGTTGAGTGTACTTCACGATGACGTGTTTGTGCCTGCATCTGTATGCAGTGACGGAAGAAACTGTCCATATCTTGACCCTTTGAGAGGTAAAAATGCGTGTGCATTTTCTATACAGACTCTTAAAAATAGGAGGCTTTAATTTACTAGTAGACTGCCTCCAGGGCAAGAAGAGCACATGTCATGCAGCCTGAAAACAACAACAACATTCACCAAGTAGAATTCGGACAGTTTTGGCCAGATTTAAAGAAAGCATTTAACAATCCAAAATCAGTACCTAGTCCACCTCCCCTTAACCCTAACCACTGCCTTCACCCTCCTCGGCATACTGTTAATGAGCCCCCTGCACACATCCGCCCCAATCCCATCCCATGTCTCTTGCACCCGCTCCCAAGTCTGGAGCATCCCTGTGGGGGGAAGGTCATACTTGGCAAGCTCTCTTTTGAGATGTACCCACAAGTGCTCTATGGGGTTGAGATCAGGGGAGGAGGAAGGCCACTTAAGGACTGAGTATTGCTGCTCAAACAGCCAAGATTGCACAAGGCGGCTCTTGTGCTTGGGGTCGTTGTAATGCTGGAAATTGACATCCGAGGGGGTTAGATGATAGAAATCGATGGTTTGTGCAAGCTCATCATGCAATATGCTTCTGTACAGCTCCCCATCCATGCGGCCGTCAATCTTACACATATATCCCGGGCCATCATATGTCATGCAACCCCATACCATTAATGACCCGCCCCCATGCTTGACGGTTTGCTGCACTTAGTGACCTTGCAGGGCCGCCCCGTCGCGTATCCACGCGTACTTGCGGCCATCACTGGAAAGGCGATTGATCTTGGTCTCGTCGGACCAGATGACCCACTTCCAATCTTCCATAGTCCAGTCAAGTTGCGCCTTGGCAAAATCGAGGCGGTCTCTGATGTTACGGGCAGAAAGACGCGGCTTCTTCGGTTTCTGCACGGCTACTAAACCAGAATGCTTCAAGGCGTTGCGCACGGTTTTGGGGCATATCTTGATGCCGTGCTCTAATTCTAGTAGTTTCGCTCCTTCTATGCTAGTCTTCGCATGGTCGGAAGTGACTGCTCGAACTAGTGAGCGCCTATCACGTACAGAGAGCATGCACGGTCGGCCGTTCCTAGGAACTATCGGCCTGACCGCTAGGCTGCTCGTGCGCTGGGCGGCTTCGTGTGCGTATTTCTGTACCGTGCTCTTCCCTATTCCTAATGCCCGTGCGATTTGCCGAAAACTCTGACCCTGTCGAAGCAGGGTCGCGATCCTATCTCTCTGGCTCGAAAGAAGTGGTCGCATCGTCGCTAGGTGCTTGGCGTAGTTGCCGCTGTACTGTTGAGAGAGAAAAAAAAAAAAAAAAAAAAAAAAAAAACTGAGGTTGTGAGATGGCGAAATGCTGGCGGGAAATAGATCTGGACTCGATGTTGGCCTAAAGTGTCCGCATCGAGTGCCGTCCGCATATTATTGTACTCTTCACAAGAAACTCGTTTAAAGTTATAACGCCCAAGTGCATTAAACAGCTGAGGTCAAGAGGCACACTATGCAATCTGGTGTTCTAGACTTATGACAGCATATTATGTCTAAATCACAATGTCTATCTACTGCAATGGATTATTAAGCCCATTTATTTATGTCACTCAATATATGTGTGTGTTTGTGTGTGTGTGTGTGTATGTGTGTGTGTTTTTCTTTTCTTTTCTTCTTCTTCTTCTTCTTCTTCTTCTTCTTCTTCTTCTTCTTCTTCTTCTTCTTCTTCTTCTTCTTCTTCTTCTTCTTCTTCTTCTTCTTCTTCTTCTTCTTCTTCTTCTTCTTCTTCTTCTTCTTCTTCTTCTTCTTCTTCTTCTTCTTCTTCTTCTTCTTCTTCTTCTTCTTCTTCTTCTTCTTCTTCTTCTTCTTCTTCTTCTTCTTCTTCTTCTTCTTCTTCTTTCTTCTTCTTCTTCTTCTTCTTCTTCTTCTTCTTCTTCTTCTTCTTCTTCTTCTTCTTCTTCTTCTTCTTCTTCTTCTTCTTCTTCTTCTTCTTCTTCTTCTTCTTCTTCTTCTTCTTCTTCTTCTTCTTCTTCTTCTTCTTCTTCTTCTTCTTCTTCTTCTTCTTCTTCTTCTTCTTCTTCTTCTTCTTCTTCTTCTTCTTCTTCTCCTTCTTAAAGGCCAATGCCTCAAAATATGTGGGTGCGGTTGACTAGAACCATATCAACTTCGTGGCAGTTGCCCACCAACTTTGTCGCCGCTCACGTCCTCTTAAGCATTCACATCATTATTCGTAAGCTTGCGCGAGCTCGGGCCATCCATATTCCCTCTTGTGCTCTCTCTCTCTCTCTCTCTCTCTCTCTCTCTCTCTCTCTCTCTCTCTCTCTCTCTCTCTCTCTCTCTCTCTCTCCCTCTCTCTCTCTCTCTCTCTCTCTCCCTCTCTCTCTCTCTCTTGCTCTCTCTTTCTCTCTCTCTCTCTCTCTCTCTCTCTCTCTCTCTCTCTCTCTCTCTCTCTCTCTCTCTCTCTCTCTCTCTCTCTCTCTCTCTCTCTCTCTCTCTCTCTCTCTTCCGCCCTTGCTCATTCTCTCTTTCGCTCTCACACCTGCATGGTCCCTAACCATATTTTTATCTTTCATTCTCGTGCCTGCATGGGTGGGCAAGCTTCGAACACATGCCTCCGGAGGTCGCTCCGGCATAATACGAATGGTCAAAGGTTCGTGAGGGCAGGGGCTGGTGGCATGCCTCGTTTCTCACCTCATAACCCACGCTATGCTTGCTTTATTGGCTGCTTGCTTTTGTCGAGGGAACAATTTTTGCTATTGATCGTGAGTATTGGCATGAGAACCATGATGGGCTAGCAGCTCTTGAGGCTTTGATAATTCCCGAATAAAGAACGTCAATGCCTTGAATATAAGCCGCGACACCTAGTGCAAGGGCCGTGGGAAGGGAGCATTCTCGTACAAGTTGTCCGAAACTTTTCGTATGAAAATACCAATATATCGTGGTTTACCCACCACATGAGCTTCTAGAGTGGACCTTACATCGTGGCCTTCCCCCACCGGGGTTTTAGCACAACAAAAAAAAAAAAAAAAAAAAAGAATCGGCACCTCGAATGGTTGCCACTACGAAGGCTCCTAGGCAAGGACTATAAGTCCAAGCATTTCCCCCTCTTGGGGGTAGGCCCTTGGCTTACATCCCTCCCCACCTTGGGGTCTGGCCAGCGGCCATAGAATGTACTCCCCCCTTGTGGATGGCCAGTGGCCCTATGCACCAAACGGTGCATTACCACCTCTTCCAAGGTCCACAATAGACATGGTTTTACTTCTCATACCACTGGTGCGGGTCCTTGGGGTCCGTGCCCGTCGGCTGAGCAGGTGCTAGCCGTATGGTCCGGCTGGCCACAGCGGAAATAGGCACCTCGGAAGCCCCGCTGGTCGCCGCTTGGTGGTGGCCCGAACTTCCCTCCGAAACCCATAAGGCCACGGCCTCCAACGGGGTTGCCGCGACCATAGGCGCCTTGTGCGCATTTCATGGCCGCCACGTCAGCGACCGCCTGCTCGAAGGGACGTGAAGTGAGAACACTCTTCTCCTGATAGAGCTTGAATCGATGCGCCATCTTGAAGTCGGAGGCGTCGTCGACTTGAAGAAGCTCAAAGCGCTAGGCAAAAAGCGCGTACGCCGCATCGAAGTATTCGAGCGCGCCCGATTTGTCACCGTGGCGCACCTTGTGCTCTGCATGCTTCAGGTATGTACGCATGGCTTCTAGGAACTCCGCTTGTTCACGTACCCCGGCGTTGGCGAAGGAAGAGACCATGATGGTTGGGTCAGAGGAAGGCAGGGGTGGGAGGTGCTTGATGGGTGCGAAAAAAATATTGTGTACGGGGAGCCTAAAAAGCCTCGTCTTTGGAGTCACTGTCGTCTTTGGCCTTGCTTGGGGCTGCGGCGACAGCTTCCTTGTCGGCGGGGGCGATCTTGGGCGAGTTAGCGTGGCAAGTTGTCTCCTTTGTTTCTTCATTTTTAGTCGAAGTAGAAATCGTAGTCGCAGCTGCTGTAACCGCGGGCATTTGCTGTTGTAACAGCGCCAACAGTTCCTAGTCTTGGTCAGCGGTCAAGGAGGGGGCGGCAGGTTCTGGCGCGCTGGATGAGGCCGCCCCGCGGCCTCGCTTGTTGTGACGCGAGGAGCCCGCCCGACGGTTCGGCGCTTTCTCGGCGCTGACGTCAGCGGGTGGCGCATCAGCCGCCACTTGCAGCTCTTGCTTCTGGTTGGCGCGTGACTCCTCGGGATCAACAGAGTTGACCTCGCCATTGCGCAGCAGCAGCTCGACGGCAGAGGGGGCAATTTCACCCTCGTCTGCCCGACGCTTGTTGTTGCGATCGCCCGCAATTTCGCGGGCGTAATTAACGGGCTCCGAAATATTCAGGGCGTTGGCAGGAGAGTTGTTGACGGGGGTGTTGGGCGCCATGGCAGCTAGGTTATGCTTAAAAGCCCAGGTCCCAAGTTGCAAGCCGCGAAAAGCAAGTTTGCAGTGCACGGCTCGGGAGAGGGCGAGAGGTTTGTGATTGGCTGCGAACATGACGAGGAACCAGAGATTCAAAATTGGAATTGCGAAACAAGGCAAAACCAACTTGCCCCTTCGCAAACAGAAAAACCTTTGCCAAACCTTCCCTAGTCAATCTGGAACCTCGCAAACAAAAACGCGTCACAAAATCGCATCACACACAAAACCACCAGGCAAGCACCAGACTCCGCCCAGCGGCAAACGCGCTAGGGGCAATGAAACCAAATAATAGATGCGAACAACGGCAAAAGCGCTGCTAAAAAAAAGGCGCCCGACTCCGCATAGATATGTGTCGCTTTCCGCACGGTATATGCGAGCCAAAATCTTCCCATCTCTACATCCATTCGCGCTTAGCATCGCCAGTTACTAGTACCGTAGTGAGTCGATTTTGCACGGCGCGAAAGACGCAAACCGAAGCCAGAGACTAGGGGTTCGAGCACCCCCTGAACGAGCACCCCCGGAGCGAGAACCCTCTACAGCACCGGTGCCACAACCGAGCCCGCCGGGACAAGCCACGACAGGAACCCCAGGACTAGCACCCTCCTTGTTATACGATCGAATGCGTCGAGGAGGAGTTGCATTCTCGATTGATACAAGGCGCTTTTATAATTCCGAAGTACATCAGGTAACCAGGTTTATCCTATCCAAAGGGAATAGACCCTTCTATAAATAGAATCACCCTGCGTATAGCCATGCAAGGCTATTGGCTTTAAGGGATTACGGCAAGATCATGCTAGATATAGCGCGCCAGTACATCCCGAGCCTGGTCGGTGATATAATTACTGTTGGGCTGAGAAAAGCCCTTGGGATCTTTCCAGAGACTAAGTCCCAATTGAAGAATGAGACTTGAGTAGTGCAGCGGAAGTTGAGTAGTTGAACCCTTGTACTGGTATATGAGAACAAGTGATTGATTAAAAGAAACAAGCATACAGTAATATATAGAAAATAGGAAAGTAAAGCAGTTGCAGAATACAGTTGCAGGAGCGGTTATCGAGTCGCACAGCGACTTGATTGTCGCTTCGGTTACCATCCGCGCAGTTGTAACGGTCAGTCGCAACCTCCAGTTGCGACCCTTCAAGTCCCTTCGCGTTCTTTGTCCTCCCCCTCGTGTAACCTCCGTTGACTCGCGTACCCGTTACGATCTTCCTCGAGTGTAGTGTTACACTTCAGAAACGCTTAAGTCCTTTGAGATATTTCCAACACTCCCCTTCGTTTCTGGAGTGCTGACGTGTTCAGATCCGGTGACGTTTGTCTGCCCGGTCAGCAGCGTGCGGTAATCGAACTTTGCCTTCGCCAATTTCTTTGTCAGATAATCTACGGCCATTTTTGTCGTAGGGCAGTAACTGAGTTGAAGTCTCCCCTTCGCGATTTCATCCTTGACGAAGAAGTACCGCAGGGCGATGTGCTTGGTTCGGTTGGCGAAGCCGTCCTTGTTCGCGATTTTGATCGCAGATTGGTTGTCGCAGAGGAGTGAGAGGACTGGCACGGAGCAGTAGGGGAGTGGTCCGGCAGCTTTCGAAGCTCCACGTACGTCTTCTTCTGCTGCGTCAGCTTCGGCAGCACGGTCAGCGAAGGAGCGAAGGCCTGCGACACCGTCGGTGGGGTCTTCTGTGGTGGCGACGTTGTCCAGGTAATGTTGCAGCGTCAGTCGTTCGTAGAAGATCACATCACGTGATGCCACGGTATTTTTGTCTTGTATGTCGAGGATTTTCCATGATTGAAAATGTTTTGCGATGCCGAGGTGTAGTCCCCATCGTGCTCGTTGAGTGAAACGTCCTGCTCTGGCTGTGTGGGGTCTGTACTGTACCATGCAACCGAAAACCCGAAGTAATTTTGTGCTGCCCCTTTTTCGTGTCCACAGCAGGTGCGGTGATGCGTTGTTGGGGAGCGATGACGAGGATAGCAAATTGTGCAGGTGGACTGCATGGGTCATCGCGTCTGGCCACAGTGCGTTGGACAGTCTCATTCCCAGGAGCAGCTTCCGCATCGTCGTCTGCAAGGTCCGGTTCATTCTTTCAGCGACCCCCTGTTGCTGGTGAGCGTAGGGTAGAGACACCAGGCGTCTGATTCCTCTTTCCGCCAAGTAGGTCCTGAATCGTTGTGACTGGTATTCCAGTGGGCCATCGGACTGGAAACTCTTGAGTGTAGTGCCTGATTCTCGTTCAGCGATTGGGAGCCACGTCGTGAAGGCTTCGAAGGCTTGATCTCGCGTCTTGAGGTTGTAGTGCCAAACATATCTTGTTGATGCATCGATAAACGTGATGACGTAGTTGAAGTCGGCTTCCGTGTCGTCTCGGGGCATGTTTAAGATGTTGCTGTAAACCTTTTCCATCGGTGCATATGCAGGTGCACTTGGATTGTGATGTGATGGGAAGGGTTGATGGGGAAGATCTGCTTTGGGGCACGTGAAGCACCGTGCGCGAGGTCTTCAAAGTTCTTGGCCGCTTGTTGTAAGAAGAGCGTTTCGTTCTAATACTTCGGCTTGGATTGTTTGTAGTACCGTGCTGTTTGCAGGATGCCCAAGGCGTTGGTGCCAGATGTCGTCGGAAGCGCGATGGTCGGGCGAGCGTTGGTACATGTTGGTGTTGGAGAAGAACGCGACGACCGTGGCGGGACTTCGGCAGACTTCTCGTGTGATGGGCATAAGTTGATCTGCTTCGGTTGGTGGTCCTCGGATCGCTGGTGGTGGTACTCGGCTGGGTCCTGCTGCTGCTACTGCAGGTGATGGTTGGGAAGGGACACTTGCTGGTACTTGTCTCTCTTGTCTGATGACTGCTAATGCTCGTGTTCTCTCTGCTGCAGGTATGGTGTTGGAGTACCAGAATCCATCGGGGTTGAAGTCGGGGTCAAGATCCGGCGGGTTTGTCCAGGCTACGAACGACACGATGTCGTCCAGGTACACCACCACACATTCGTCCAAGAGTGGGTGGAGAATATGGTTCATTTCGGCTTGGAACGTTGCCGGTGCGTTGGTGAGCCCGAACGTCATTACAAGATACTCATACGACCCGTACTGAGGGCGGAAGGCAGTTTTGTGGACGGAATTGTCCGGCATTCGT